CGGCCGCAGGTGCAGCCGGGCTAACCAGAAGCCAGCTAGGACGCAGGCAGAGATGGGGGTGGGGGCTGGCTCTCAGGGCCCAGGAAGAGCCACGAGCCATGACTGGCTCCCTCAGACCCAAGGCCAAGGTGTCCCAGAGGCAGGCTTCCCCTCGCTTCCCACCGTCCCTGTGTCACTGCCAATGACGATGGCTGCTGCACGACACAGCAGGTGGCTCCTAGGCCTCTCATGAGGGTCCGTGCCAGCAAAACAGGAGGCAGAAGGTCAAGGCCAGGAGCGGAGAAGCTGGAGCTTTCTCCACGCAGCAACCCCCAGGCCAGCACGGGCTGTTTGCTCTCAGAAGAGCTGGACCAATCCACAGCTTCCTTCCCAGTGGAACCAGAGACTCGGGCACAAGTCTTGGGATGGGGGACACCAGATCCTTCTGTCCTGAGCATGTCCCTGAAGACCTGCCAGGAGACACAGCCCCTGTGAGATACCCCCAGCCTGTGTCCTGGCCGGGGGGACCCACTTGGGTTTAGGAGTCCCGACTCCAATTCCACCATCTATCAACCTGTTCTGCCCCCAAGCTGAGCCCCCATGCCGCCTTGCACTGATCCCTTGGGCCAGAGAAACTGCTTTGTCCTCCCACAGTGGGCAGCCTGCTGGACACCAGCCTTGGTCTCACAGCCTAGGTCTGGGGAGGAAGGGGAGGAAAGCTTTGACCCCGGCCGCATGTACCTGCCTGCAGTTCCAAGCTCCAGTTCCTCTCTCTGGGCAAAGGCAGCATACGATGACACCGCCAAAGCCAACGACAGGTTCAGAGCGCCCCACGCACAAGGGTCTGCTCTGGCCATAACTCCCACACCTGGCTAGCAGGGCCCTGAGGGCCGGCCGAGGCTGGGAGCCCACCCTGAGCACAGAAGGCCCCAGTAAACACCCAGAGAAGAGGCTAAGGCATGCAAGCCCGAGCAATCCAACCCCACAGGCCCTGCAGAGGGTCCCTATGCCACCCGGAGCCAGAGACAGGAGACGTCCCCCCCAGGCACTGCTGGAAGGGGGTCCCGAGCCCCCTGGCCACACGCCCTCTCACCGAGGCCCCGAAGCTATTGCCAATTCCACTTCCAGGCCATCGCCGGCCCCAGTGCCACCAAGAGAGGCGGCACAGGCATTTGGCCCTGAGCACAAGGCCATCAGGGGCTACACTGCAGGTGACGCGGACAGCAATCAAGGTAACGGACTGTGCGGTGCCATGGGTGGTTTGTCCTGACCCCAGGAGTTGAGTCTCGCACACCAGGGGGATGTGGCCAGGACACTGAGCTAAGCTCTCGAGACCTCAGCTGGCAAACGGGGCCGGTGAAGGTCCAGACACGGGATTACTGGGGTTCCGTGAGATGAGACCCCCAAGCACCCAGCACGGGGCCTGGCCCACCCTTCTCTCCCACAGCCCTTTAGAGCTCCTGCGCTGTGGCACAGCAGGTAAAGCCACCGCCTGCAGCGCCGGCATCCCATATGGGTGCTGGTTCGAGACCCAGCCACTCCACTTCCAATCCAGCTCTCTGCTATGGCCTGGGAAAGTGGTAGAAGATGGCCCAACTGCTTGGGCCCCTGCACCCACATGGGAGACCCATAAGAAGCTCCTGGCTTTGAATTGGCGCAGCTCCGGCTATTGTGGCCATTTGGGGAGTGGACCAGTAGATGGAAGACCTCTCTCTCTGCCTCTCCTTCTCCCTCTGTGTAACTGACTTTCAAAAAAATAAATAAATAAATCTTTAAAAAAGAAAAAAACATTCAATCCTCACACCAGCCCTCAAGGCCTGACATAACGTATTCATCACCTTCTTGCCCTCACTTACTTCCACCAGCCACACGGGCCTCCCTGTGTCTTGTTCAGGTTCCTCGGACGAATCGGGCATGATCCAACCCCAGGGCCTTTGCAAGGATGGCTCCCTCCTCCTGGCTACTTTTCCCCAAACACTCTCAGGTTTCTGCCTAAATGTCACCTCCTCCAGAAGCCCTCCTGGACCTTCCTCCTTAGAGCAGCTTCTCCCTCCCTCCCTCTCTCTGACCCACCCTCCTTGTTCTTCACCACCATTGTAACAATGCACAATCAGCTCACGGACAGGCTGTGTCCCCTGCCAGGGAACCTGAAGGGTCCCTCGCACTCCCCCACCCATATCAACAAAGCATACAGCCAGTGCCCAACGTGAGGGGACTTCAGGGTGCAAGGAGAGATGGACTTCAAGGGGAACTTTATTTTGGCACAACAATTTTTTGAAATTCATGCACAGTATTTTCATAATACACATTTCCATGAACTTTTTGGAGATTCTTGTGTGCATGGATGTCGAAATTGTTGGCACCAAAATAAACTGATTTTTGAATTGATTTTTGTTTTGTTTTCTTTTGTTTTGTTTTGTTTTTATTTGAAAGGCAGAGTTAAGCCGAAGCCAAGAGCCAGGAGCTTCCTCCAGGTCTCCCACTTGGCCCAAGCACTTGGGCCATCTTCCACTGCCTTCCCAGGTGCATTAGTAGGGAGCTGGATTGGAAGTAGAGCAGCCAGGACTTAAGCCAGCGCTCTGATAGGCGGTGCTGGCATCACAGGTGGCAGGTAAACCCACTGTGCCAAAGGCCAGCCCTGACACCCACATAAACTGATCTTTGAAGTCCACTTTCCCATCGACTTTCTGAAATGCCCTCCTCTATGCTATGATGGGCAGAGACACCTGGGAGTAGCCCTAGTGAAAGGGGAGAGGTAGGGACAGGGGAGGGGAGGGGAGGGGAGGGAGAGGAGGCCTTCTCCTCCAACCAATACAGAGAGAGGAGGGGATCAGGCCAGGAGAGCCTCGGCCAGGCAGGGCCCACCGCCCAGCCCTGCCCCCATGCCTTTCTCCTGGCCATGTGCTTCTGGCCCCCAGGTTGTCACCCCACCCCCACCCCTAGTACCATCCATGATTCCTGCACCTCCCTCCCCAGGTTGGGTCTGGTGGCGCTCTGGGCTCTCAGGGTCTCCACCCTCCGACATCACTGCCTTGATGGCCTTGGACGATCACTGTCTATTTGCTCCTCCATCTCTGTCCCGGCTGAGCTCCCAAAGGCATAGCCTATGGCCACCTGGCTTCCTCCCGTAGCCCCTGACTCCTCTGGGTGCATGTCTGTCAAATGGGTACAGCAACAACAGCTCCCACAGCCCTTCAGGGACACTGTCCATTGCATCTAAGCCCCCCTACAACTCCATTAAATGAGGACGCTTACGCCCCTCCCTCAGCTAAAGAAGCTGAGGCTCCGAGGGGTCTCAAGGTCATGGTCAGTGACCTTGCAAGTGGCAGTCAGGACCTAAACCCAGGTCTCTCTGACGCAGCAGCCGGCACCAGCCACCCTAGGGAACACCTACCAGAAGAGCAGGACCCTCAGCTCTTAACTGGGCCCAGGGGACCCCACGTCTCCATCGACCCCCCAAGCTGGCCCAGCAACCTTCGACTCTTGGGGAGACAGGGGCAGGTCCCTGAATCCAGCCAACTCTGTTCTCTGTGTCTGTTGATGGACTAAACAATGTCCCCCCACTCCACACACAGTGAGGCCAGTCCCTCCCACCTCAACCTCCACTGCTTGCGTTCTGTGAGCTGTGTGACCTCAGCAAGGAGCTTTCCCTCTCTGAACCTTAGGCTCCGGGACAAAGAGGCAGCAGTGGGGCCCACGTGAGAGTGATCGACTTAACCCTAATCCTCAATGCGGGGCAGCGGGGACCCACATGGCGGGGCTGGCTGCTACCCCACCAGGCATCTGCAGCAGCTGTAGCGTGCAGAGCCCGAGCCGACCCAGAGCCAGGCAGGACGAGGGGTCTAGCAAGATGCTTAGACGGCACCTGTGTGCCCGGCTCCCTGGATACTATCACTCACCACTAGGATTTGTAGACAGAGAAGCTGAGCACAGAGAGGGCAAGCGATTCTCCCGAGGATGCCCAGCTGCTGGCTCCAGGTGCGCTTCCTCCCCTTCCAGGCTGCCTGCCGGGGGTCCCTGCCAGGGAGGACAGGGCAGGAAAGGAAGGAAGGAGCAGCCCTGGCATCTAAGGATCCTCTGTCCTGGGAGCACTTGACCCTAATGTCTCAGCAAAGCTTTATCAGTCACCTGCTGTGCTGGCCCAGACAAGACAAATGAAGCTCATCCTCAGCTGCTGACCACACAAGCCCCTGCCCCTTGCTAAGCCACGTTTCCCAATAGTCAGGGACCAAGCGCTTCCGAGGTACCCATAGTTTCATCTACGCCTAACGGATGCACAGACAGAGGCTCAGAGAGGCCAAGCCTCTTGCCAGGCACACACAGCAGTTGCTCAGAGCTTGAGAGATCCATTCCCATAGTTCTCCAGTCCCCCCCCAGCCCCGGGCCTTTAACCTGAGCTCACCTACGAGCGGCTCAGGCCGACCCGGAGCCCCTGCGTGGAAACCATGCGTTGTTCGAGTCCGCAGCCCTGGTGAGCTAGTCTCACGTTCTCAGGGCCAGGGAGCCACAGCTCACATCTGCACCCTCAGAAGCTCCTTCTGCTTCCTGGAGCCACGGAGGCAGCCCTGACAGGGCCCAGCAGGAGGCCAGGGGCCGGGCAGGCAGCCCTGTGGCCCGCTGACCCTTGGGAGCAGAGCAGCTCCCCTAAGAGTGGCCACAGCCGTGTCTGCTTCCCGCTCCAGGCAGACACCGCAGCGCGCAGCTCCCACAGCCCTGCCTGCCGGGGCCTCCCCAGGAGCTCCCCACTCCCAGCTAACGCTGTGTCCTCCTCCACCTGACACAGGCCAGCCAGAGATGGGGGCCAGCTGCGGCTCCACGTGGCCAGACTTACCTGGGGCTGGGCAGGTGGATGCAGAGGAAAACGGGCCGCCTGTGGGGCCTCTGGTCCCCAAACAAGCAGAGCTGCTGTTAGGTGACGAGTCAGGGCCCGAGAGCCCATGGGCGCCCCCGCCTACACACACACACACACACACACACACACACACACACACGAGGAGGCCACGCCCTGCCGGGGTTTTCACCTGGGGGGCAGTTCCACTCCGAGGCCGAGGTCCTGGGGTGGCCCTGATACCGGCCAGGCCTGGGCAGCAGGCCCGAGGCCTGCCACTCACCTGGGTGCCGGAGCAGTGGCGCCGAGGCCAGAGCAGGGCAGGGCTGCGGGCCGGAAGGCCTGGTGTCTGGGGCGCTCCTGCCAGCAGGCTTCTCTGAAATGCCACCTATTTCCTTGTTGTCAACACAGGAAAGGGGGCCGTTTGAAGTCTGCGTCAGAGTCACAAAGTGCTGTGTGCAAGGAAAATCGCAGGCCGCACGCTCCGGGGCGGGCGGCGGGCACTTCCGGGGCCATCGCGTGCCAGCCCTGGCACCAGGGGTCTGGAGTGGGGGTGGGGAGTGGCGAGGCCAGCGGCAGGCAGGGCTCCTTTGGGGGTGACCTCTGTGATCGCAGCACCTCCCCCGCACCCCAAGCCTGGGAAGGAGAAAGGGGTGAGCCTGGGCGCGGGAGGCTGGGGACCCCCCAGGCTCACTGGCAGCTGGGAAGTACTCGCTTTCCCTGGCCGAGAGCCATCAAGCCTGGCGGAAGCACACAGAGGAATGACTGCTTCACTCCATGGGCAGGTTAGAGTGGGCGGGGGCAAACCCCCGAAGTCGGTGCAGCCCTAAAGGCTCAGGTTCCTCCTGCCGCTGGCTGCCCATCCGTGCCCTCGGCGGGCTCCCAGGCTGCAGGGGGTGGCTGAGCTCAGGGGAGACCACACACCTGGGCCCTGGGTGCACCCCAAGGGGCTCCATGGCGCTCTGGGCTCCCAGAGGAGTCACACACAGAGACAGGGCGTCCCCCAGCACCTGTCCAGTTCCAACGCTGCCCTCACAGCTGTGCCCCGCTGGCCACCGCCTCCTGCTCTAGCCTCTTCCTCAACCTCTCCTCCCTTCGCCCACAGGAGGGTGCTCACCCCCTCAAAACTATCCTCAATAGATGCCTTCCTGTGCCCCGAAGGTGGCGTGGAAACCAGAGACGCAGACCAAGCCTCCTGTCTCCACACTGGCTCCTCTTTATCTGGGTAATAGTGGCAGAATATTCTAGAAGACTGAAGAGAAGCCCAGTGACAGCATCCGAATCACACCAACCCCAGCAGCATTTTTTCTTTAAGATTTATTTATAAGGCAGAGTTAGAAAGCAGCAGAGGCAGAGAGAGAGAGAGAGAGAGAGAGAGTCTTTCATCATTCCCCAAATGGCCACAGTGGCCAGAGCTGGGCCTGCGGCGGCTTTACCCCGGTATGCCACAGTGCCTGACCCCAGCAGTATTAATAGTCGCACCTGCTGTGTGATGGACACTGTGGTCAGCATTTTACATTAGCCCACTCAATCCATTTCCCAGATGAAGTAAGTGAAGCCCAGAGAGATAAACACAGACGCGGGCAGGAAGGGAGTGTGGGCAGCTGGGCCCCAGGACCCCACACGCTGGTTCTCTCCCCAAATGGCCACAATAGCCAAGAATGGGCGAGGCCCAAGCTGGGAGCCAGGAACTCCATCCAGGCTTCCCTGGCAGGGGCTCAGGCACTTGGGCCATCTTCGGCTGCTCTCCCAGGAGCATCAGCAAGGAACCGGATGGGAAATAGAGCAGCCGGGATTCCAGTAGGCGCTTTGTACACGATGCTGGCTCAACTCTCTACCCACAAGCACTGGTCCCAAACTTTCTTTTTTAAAACTACCTACAAGGGTAGGGGCCGGGGGACAGCTTCCCAGGGAGCAGGCTGCGTGCAGGCACCAAGGGGCAGCAGCACACGGACCCATTCCATGGGTAGGCGGGGTCTCCAGACTCTGAGAAGGGGGCACCCAGACTTTGCCATGCACAGGTCCAGCAGCCTTGACCCCTCCCCTCCTTCCTGCCCAGAGCTGACGGCCAGAAACTACACAGCAGCTTCTGAGATGGGGACGCAGATAAGGGTGTGGGTCCCGCCAGTGTGACAAGAGGCAGTGTGGCTCCTGCACGTTGGCGGAAAGGGCAAGCGGTGGACACGTGGGCTGGGTGCTCTACAGATTCACACCCGATATGCAGAGGGCCAGGGAAGAAATTGTCACACCGCAGGGTCCTCGCCCATGCTCTGCCCCGGCCCCTTCACCTGCCCGCCTCAGCCCTCTTTCAGGTCTCCCATTAAATGGACCTTCCTCCAGGAAGCCTTCCTGACCTCAGACTGGGTGGAGTTGGGGCTTTGCGTGACAGTAAAGGGGCCACCAGGTTAGGGCTGGAAAACCTCAGCTGGTGGGGGTGGGAGGGCTGCAGGCTCCAGACTGCTGGGGGGGGGGGTCACCCTGCAGCCCATTGACCCCAAAAGCACTCCAGCCCCTGTCCCAGACCTCCTCCCGGATTCCCTCCCACCCACTGCATGCAGCCCGACTTTGCCTTCCTCTGGGTGCTGACAGCAGGGAATTTTATCTCCTGGGTTTGCCACTTAGCACTGAGGGAGCCAGAGTTTTCACTCTGGGGAAATGGGGAGGGGGTGGTGGTGACAGTACCTACTTCGCAGGGCTGTTGTGAAAAGTACAATTGGCCTGAGAAAGACAGGCTGCATTATCGCCCTCACCATCTATCTCCCCATTTGCCCAATTTCTTTAGCGCCTGGTAACCGACAAGTCCAAGTGCGCCCTCTAGGGGCAGCTCTGCAGTACTGCATGCTACCAGGAACAACCAGAAAGCCAAACGTTGTAGTGACCCCGGTCCCTCCCCCATACAAAAATTAACCCCAGCTGGTTTAAATGAGAATGAATTACTCACAGAAGTGCTTTATGCTTTATGAATAGGTGGAACATTTTAAAACACCCAAACGCCTGGGTTTTGCTGTAGACGTGGAAGCTTATAAAACCTGGTTACAAGTGGAGCTCCTGCAATTCTTCATGGTCTTGGTGGAATACTTCATGTATTCCTACCTCCCACAAAAGAGACTCACCCTACCCCACACTGCCATCCTGCCCAGAGCAGAAGCCGGGCCAGACTCAGCCCTGGCTCCCTTGTTGCCTTTGGATATTGTCTGCGTTATTAGGTATTCAATTAATAACTGTCCAATGACAGGCTGAATTAATGAACAAATGCTTTACTAAATAAAGAACTACATAATGGAAAACTAGGTTTGTCTTTGGGGAAATGGGCGATTTCCTGCACCGGCATTTGCGCCATTTGACCATAAGCATCCTACGGTGCAGTACTTTTTCTTGGTCCATTCAAGACTGAGTGATGAGAAGGTGAGGTGTTTGGTGAGGGCACCTTGCAGCCAGAAACCCAACTGCCTCTCGCGGTGTCTGGATAGAGCGCAGCCCCGCGGCGCAGTCTGCTGACTTGGGTGGCTACCCCACCACCTGCCTTAGACACAAGAATTGCTTTTCAGAAGCTTCTGCTTCCCAGAAAACTTCCTGAGATTCTTATCTGGAGACTTCTGCCACCAAGTCTTGCCATTCATGATGAAAATGTTATAGGTCATGTTTGCCGGCGGGTATCTGAAACAAGCCACAGAAAACAAACACTGCTCAGCTGCGCACGCAGGAGTCCCTGTTAGGCGGGGACAGGCTGGTGTTCTGAGTGGGGAGGATTCCGCCTTCCAACAGGCGGGCTTGTCATACATGAAACCCCTGCCACTGGCCGGCGCCGCGGCTCACTAGGCTAATCCTCCGCCTACGGCGCCGGCACACCGGGTTCTAGTCCTGGTCGGGGCACCGGATTCTGTCCCAGTTGCCCCTCTTCCAGGCCAGCTCTCTGCTGTGGCCTGGGAGTGCAGTGGAGGATGGCCCAAGTGCTTGGGCCCTGCACCCCATGGGAGACCAGGAGAAGCACCTGGCTCCTGCCATCAGATCAGCGCGGTGCGCCAGCTGCGGCGGCCATTGGAGGGTGAACCAACGGCAAAGGAAGACCTTTCTCTCTGTCTCTCTCTCTCACTGTCCACTCTGCCTGTCAAAAAAAATAAAAAAATTAAATTAAATTAAATTAAAAAATCCCTGCCACCTCTGGCCCCCACAGAGCCTCTGCAATATCCCTTTCTGGAAAACACTTGTCCACGACTAACCCAGGCCATGTACAGCTATGTCTCCGTGAGCTGGACGGGTACAAGGGGCGTGGAGGGGAAATGGCCCGTCGGAAAGATGAGCCATATTCAGAATTGTGAAACAGGGCCACGCTTACTTTCAGGCGCTCTGAAACAAGTCATGTCTAACCCCTTCAAGGAGTCACCAGTCGCAGGACCCCTGGAGCACTCCTGGCATCTAGAGAAAGCAACGCCCTTCTTGTGGGGAAATGGAAATACCGCAGCCTCAGAAGCAGCCACTTCAGCGTCGTCACACAGCCCCAGTCCCCTCTCTCGGGGGACACGCTGAGCCCCCGACACAGTGAGGGGCCTGTGGGGGAGCTGCTCTGCCCTCTGTGACCACGTCCCCAGCCGCGCAGCCCACAGCATAGAATTTCCAAACGCAGTGACTCACTTACACAGTGAGTGCCCAGTCTTGCACACTAGTTGCTTCCAGTGTTCCATGCTTGAGCCCTGTCACCCAGTGGTTTCATCAAAACACTGAACAATGGTGCACATAGGCTCTGCCAGCCCAAGGGCCCACTGGTAGAGCCTGGCCTCTCAAGGCCACTGCTGTACCAGGCATTAACCCTTCACGTGCAGGATCAGGGGTGGGTGGGTGGGGGGAGGTTCTTGAAGTGGCTGTAGAGGGACCCGTGGAGCCTTCTGCAATATTCTAACGACCAGAGCAGCTCCACCACGGGCCCTAGGTGCACACCAGCTTGCTCACATCCCTCCCCACCCCACCTCTCGGAGCTGTGTACTTCCTTTCCTTTCTCTGTGCATTGGCTATTTTTCCATCTTCATGCCAGACATGACACAGTCTCCTCTTTCAGTAGCCGGATGGGCACAGCCCAGTCCAGGAAGACTGGTGTGCATCAGTCAGGCAGACAGGGCCCAGGATCCAGGGCACGCGTCCTCTTCCAAGCCCACAGGTGATGTCCGCACACAGCCCGGCCTAGAGAGCCCCCACTCTCCTCCTCCCCAATCCAGGAAGCTTCGGGGGAGGGTGGGGCAGCTTCAGTGCCAGCACCCACGAGTCCCGGGTGGAAGGGCGGGCGCTAGGAGCCACTCACAGGGGCTGCCTGCTCCTGACGTACGAGGTCAACATGAGCAGCAGCATGACCGTGACAGCAAGGATGGCGGCCACGGAGAAGGCGGTGATGATGATGTTCTTTCGCAGGAAGTGCAGGAGCTGTGCACAGGGCATGTTCCCGTTGCGACTGTCTGCGGAAGACACAGGCCAGAGGGGACATGGAGGGGTGCCCCCCCACACACACACACACAGCCCTGCTGCTACTCACAGCCTGGCCCCCATCTGCCAGGGCAACCTGAGAGTCGCGCTCACTGCAGAGAGGAAAACAGCAGCCCAGCTGCTGGTTCCGGAAGTGTTCTTGGGGATGGAACTGGCTTTGTTTAGGGAAATGCATTCATCATCGGCTGGCAGAGGGGTGATGCAGGCAACAGAGGGGGCAGAAAGAAGGAGCAACAAACAGCAGTGGGAGAGACACGAGAAGAGGTGAGAAAGCCCTGTTGCAAAGGCTTATGGGAACAGAGGCATTTGGTCTACGGCTCTTCTATAACCCGGTCTCTGCTGCCCCCGTTCCCCCAGCTTCAGCAAATCCTACTGTATATAGAGTCAGCCACATGTGTGCAGGTTTGGGGTGGGGATCAGGTCTGATCCAACAGGAGGTGAACACAAGGTAGTGGTGATCCCAGGGTCCAGCGGGTCTCTAGGACCTCCCAGCAATCTGGAGGGTGGATTGGGGCCACCAAGCGTGGGCTTGGGCTCTTAGCTGGATCTCAAAGGAAGGAGAGTCCAGCTGACATCAGGGGCTTCTAGAGCTTGTCACCCTATTTGCAAGGGGACTGAAAAGGAAAGAGGGATCAGAGAAATGGGGTCTGGAGGTTCAATGACAAGAACAAGGTGGGGAGAAGCCAAGCCCAGCTGGTGATACAGGCAGGAGAGTGCCGGCCAAGGGTCTTGCCAGGTTAGGGGAAGAACACTATGCATGTCCAACTTTCTGCCCTCATCCATGCCACTTCAAAGGGCAGCCAATCAGGAGGCACCAAGGGCTCTGGTGGATAAACCCAGCATTGCCTTTCCAAGCTTTGCAAAGTGATGATCAGGCGTTACGTTGACAGGCTGCATGGAGGGGGTAGCCCAGGCCCAGGTAATCCAGCAAGGAGGAAGATGCCAGGCCCGGGGGCCCTGGGCCAGCATTTGGCATTTAAACCTCCTTGCAAGCTACAAAGCCTCAGTGCTCGGCAGTGGTGGGGCCTCTGGAGATGATACCTGGATGACGAATGAACTTGGCTGTGTGCAATCAGGATATGAGTAGCATCTTTTTGAAAGGGTGCAGTTAGTTTATTCAGAATTTTAACCACAGATCATATGCTTCCGAAGGTGAATTAACGGTGTGCCTCCCATCTACTCAGACACATTCTGAAGTCATTTGCGGTTACGGATCTTAATCACTCATGCGCTAGACTCACCTGGGCTCACTGCGCCTTCAGCTGTTCCGCTAGTGACAGTAGTTAATTGGTTATTCACATCTCTGTGGAATAGGGAGGGTTCTTTAATCCTTCTCTCTTCTGAAATGTGATCTACAAAAGATAAGACCCGCCCATCAGGAAACACTGTTGGTCTGTGATTAGTTCTGTTTTTTCTTTCTAGAGTCAAAGTAGGGAGTTGGGGTGTTGGAGAAGACTCTACATACTATGTAGTGTTAACAGAGTATATTCACCTGGTCTACCCTTGGATAGTGTGGGTCTTAAGGGAGTGAACCAGAGGATGGAAGATCTCTTTCTGTCTGTCAGTCTGACTATATTTATGAATCTACCTGTCCATCTGTCTCTTTCCCCACCTCACATTGTCTTTTTCTTTTAATAGAAGGGTCAAAATAAGAGGTATTTGCATCCTACCTCTACTATTATCTATCTGACTCATTTGTATATAGCCTGATGAAGTTCTCTTCATTCCTAGAGAAACAGAAACTTGTTTCTTATCCAATTTGGCTTAGAAAGAGAGAAACTCCCAATTTAATGTGACGCACAGTGATTTGACTTGGAAAATGTCAGCTTGTCACATCAGAGTTAAGAGATGAGCAGCCACGGAGAGGACGCTCTGGCCGCCATGGAGCAGCCAATGGGGATGTGCGCTTGCCTTGTCTTTCACAGAGCCATAAACAAATAGACTTGACCCTGGAACACACAGCTGCACTTTCCTCCTCTCTACACAACGAAAAAACCCAACTGAATTAAGAGCCATTGTCTATACTTACCATCAGGAAGGTCCTAAGTTCCTGTTTATCTAAAGTTCTTTGGAGAGTTTGAAGAGTATTTTTTATGTGATGAGTTGTGACTTTAATTATTTGTTGAATTTTTATTTATTTTTGAGAGGCAGAGAGAGATATCTCCCATCTACTAGTTTACACCCCAACTTTCCAAAACAGCTGGCACTGGGCCAGGCTGAAATCAAGAGCTTCTTCTGGGTCTTCCACGTGGGTGCAGGGGCCCAAGGACTTGGGCCATCTTCTACTGCTTTCCCAGGACATAGCAGAGAGCTGGATCAGAAGTGGAGCAGCCAGAACTCAAACCAGCACCCATATGGGATGCTGGCATTGCAGGCAGTGACTTTACCCACTATGCCACAGTGCTGGCCCCAGGGTTGAAGTTTTACATTGCAATTTTTGTTTTCATGTTCTTAAGAGACAAGCATTGAAATGAATCTTCGGGGGCCATCACTGTGGCATAGCGGGTAAAGCCTCCACCTGCAGTGCCAGCATCCCATATGGGCACCAGTTTAAGTCCTGGCTGCTCCACTTCTGATCCAGCTCTCTGCTGTGGCCTGGGAAAGCAGTAGAAGATGGCCCAAGTCCTTGGGCCCCTGAACCTACGTGGGAGACCCAGAAGAAACTCCTGGCTCCTGGCTCCTGGCTCCTGGCTTCAGATTGGCACAGCTACGGCCGTTGTGGCCATCTGGGGAGTGAACCAGCAGATGGAAGACCTCTCTCTCTCTCTCTCTCTGTCTCTGTCTGTAACTCTGCCTTTCAAATAAAGAAATTTTAAAAAGAACGAAAGAAATGAGCCTTGATTTAGATGTCAACAGCACCTCATTGTCAGGTGTCCCAGGACAGAGACTGGAGTCCCCAGAGTGGACCTAAGATCACTCCCAGTGTGAGCTGCTGTCCAGGGACCTGTGCACACCTCTCAACACCTCACTTCGCAGAGGCGTCACTTCTCCAGGCTCCTCCTGTCCTGTCCACCATTGATCACTACTGTCGCTAGAGGTGCAGACAGTGTGGTCTGGAACTTCCTGCTCCCTGTGGGCCGGCTTCAGAGCAGCTCCCAGCCTCAGAAGGTGGGCGTTGGTTGTGGCCTTCACCACTGCCCACAGGGTCTGCTCAGTTCTCTTCTTCCCTTGCCTGTGCTACTCAAGGCAACTTTACGAAGCAGCTCCACCTCCTTGTTCTTCCAAAACTCTTTACAAATCCAACCTAAGCACTGTCCAAATACCCTCCATTTTAGCATATTTACAACTAATTGTTTATTGTATAGGCTCCTGGCTCCCAGCTGTTACGGCCATCTGGGGAGTGAACTAACAGATGGAAGATCTGTGTGGGTGAGATGGCTCCAGGCCACATGCAGCTCTGTGTAGACACTCATCCCCGCCCCTCTCCCCAGCATGGCAGAGAGAGACATGCTTGTCCTGCTTTATCCCTTTCGGAGGAAGAAATGCATCCTGGGACTGTAGGTGCTCGCCCTGTGCTCAAGCCAATTGGCCTCCACGGCAGTGAGACTGGCAAGACCAGCCTTTCTCATCAGCCAGGAGCACCTTCCCATAATCCTCCTGGGGATGCAGAGAGCCCCCTGGGGTGGCACTCGGCAGTGTGCTCAGCCTCTTACAAGCCCCGGACTCTCCAGGGGCGGAAGGACTTAGCGAGGAAGCTTGGGAAGAGGACTCAGATGCCATGGGCAGCTCTCTCTCCCTCGTGGTGACCCATCTGCCCACCATGCCGCACGTTTCACGGAAGCAGAATCTCAGGCGTGTGACGGAATTGTCACCGTGACCAGCGCTGGGCACTCTGCCCAAGTACGGGCAAAGCACCTACACCCAAGCATTCATAAGAGAGCTTGAGATCCATCTGCCAGCACCCTGCCTCTGCCTCTCACTGGGTTCTCAACTCAGGCAAGAGAAACAAGAACCAAGACTTAGTGATTCCCAGCTCCAAGCTTCGCCGTTCGCACTTACCGTTATCGGCAATTCTGTCCGCGGTGCCGAGGAAATAGTCCGGCTCAGAATTCCAAGCGTTGCTAACTCCTTTGATGAGACAGGTGGGGGGGGGAGAAAAAGGGTTTCTTTAGTACACGCCTGCATCCATATTTCGTTTTACATTGCTAAGTTGAAACGTCCCTAGAGAATTCGATTTGTATTTGGAAATGTGTGTCTGAAAGTTGAGTCACTGGTGTAGACAGAGTCATCCGCGGACTGAGTGTAGACTCCTGGGCAGAGGGAGTGGGAAATTGCCCTTAGGCACTGCAGTGTATATCTGTATGCAAGATACGCGCCCCACCCCACCCCGCCCCGCCCCCTCCTCAAGGCTCACTCCCCTGCCGCAGGGGAATTCTCTTCCCATTACCGGTGATCAAACAGCTGTCTTAATTCCCAAGAACTCTTTTTTTTTTTTCAATCCCATGAAACTACTCTGGGACAGAGGACTATCTTCACCTGTGTCATGTCTGTGGCTGTGCCCAGGGAAAGTCGTTTTTGGTTCTGTCTTCTCATCCACTGAATGGGGCACTGATGACCATCCAGGCTGTCTGTCAACCACATCACGCACGTGCAAGTATCAAGTGTGTGGAACAGAGGTTATGACGTTACCCAGGGCTCGTGTGGCAAGGAACAAGAAAGTCCACTTACAAACCAGGTGCCCAGAGTGGCAGGACCTGCCTGCTCCCCGCATGTCAAGGATCACCCCAGAACACAGGCACAGTCACACTTGAGACGGGGCCTCCACAGGTGGTAGGGAGAGAGGTTTCCCACTCTGCATTTGCCCCACAGTAGCTGGTTTCAGGGAGGCGAGGATGACAACAAAGCACACCTACTACTACAACGTGGAGCCTATAAAAGACGCGCACTCACATGCTGAGTGACGTATACTTGCCTTCATTTACTTCTCTCTTTGTCATTGATTTGCCAGTTGTTCTCGCCTCCTCAAACGGTACATCATACGGAGTTTTGGACAACACTTGCAGCAGAATTTCATCTCAAGGGAAGCAAACAAAGGCATGTTACTATCAGCAACGCGGGATGTATGCGTTCTGCTGTGTAAGTTCCTAAAGTGGTCCAAAGACATGAAGAAACGATGCAGACGCCATGGGCATGGGAGGTTGCGTTCTAAAATGCTTTGTCTTGGGAAGCGAAGCTCCAGCAACCCAAACCATCTGGAATATGGTGATTGTTCAAGATATCCTGGGATGCAGGGCTGGAAACTGCCCCAGAGCTCCTGATGTTTGGCACCATGATTTTTCTTCCTTTTCCTCACCCATGAGACTTTCCCCAGGATGGCCCAGAAAAATGGGGAGATGGCTGTAGGGGTAACAATAACGCATAACAGATTTTAAAACGTCAGGAAGTTCTTTCTTTATCAAACTGTTGGGGCCGGCACTGCAGCATAGCAGGTAAGGCTGCCACCTGTAGTGTTGGCATCCCATACGGGCACTGGTTGGAGTCCCAGCTCTACTTTTAATCCAGCTCTCTGCTATGGCCTGGGAAAGTAGCGGAAAATGCCCCAGGTGCTTGGGCCCCAGCAGCCACATGGAGACCCAGAAGAAGCTCCTGGCTCCTGACTTCGGATCAGCCTAGCTCTGGCCATTGCAGCCATTTGGGGAATGAATCAGCAGATGTGTCGCTCCCCTTCTTCATGGAGGAACGACAGTAAACCCTGCCTAGGCTTCATATCCGAGTCACGGCACCATTATGCCGCTCCCCTTCTTCGTGGAGGAACGACACTAGACCCTGCGCTGTTCTTTTGTCTGCTCAGCCCTTCCCGGGTTAGCTGCTGGTTCTTCCCGGGTTGGCTACCGACCCTTCCACCTCCGTGGAAGGGCGGTTCCCCCTGCCACTTTCCCCATTTCCGCGGGGGAGCGGCACACCGCCGGCCGGCCGGCTCTCTCGGGGGCTGCACAGGTGTTCCTTCAGATAGATGTTCCTGGTGCATGTTGTCTCTCTCCTCCTTTATAGTCTTCTTCCACCAATCCCAACTCTGCTACCCACACGCCGAGTACGCTGCTCTCCTCCAATCAGGAGCAGGTCCTACAGTTTATTGGTTGAACTGGAGGCAGCTGTGTAGAAGTTGTTACTCCCTTCTCAGCGCCATATTGTGGGAGAGCAGATGCATAGAATAAGTCTTAATTCCAGTAACAGTCTAGTCCGAGTTGCTCCCCACACAGATGGAAGACCTTTCTCTCTGTCTCTTCCTCTCTCTGTAACTCTGTCCCTCAAATAAAGAAACAAAATCTTTTTCCAAAAAATCTCCAATTTGTTGGCATAGAAATGTTAATATTATCCTCCTTATGACACTTTTTCTTTCAGAAAATCAGTAATAATGCCCCCCTCTCACTTCAGAATTAAAAATTTACTTTCTTGGGACAAGCACTGTGGCATAGTGGGTAAAGCTGCTGCATGGGGTGCCAGCATCCTATATGGGCATTGTTTCGAGTCTTGACTGCTCCAGCTCTCTGCTTATGGCGTGGGAAAGCAGTAGAAGATGGCCCAAGTGCTTGGGCCCCTGCACCCATGTGGGAGACCCGGAAGAAGCTCCTGGCTCCTGGCTCCTGGCTTCAGATTGGCCCAGCCCTGGCTGTTGAGGCCATTGGGGAAGTGAACCAGCAGATGGAAGACCTCTGTGTCTGCCTCTCTCTGTAACCTCCCTTTCAAATACATAAATACATCTTTAAAAATCTAGTCTTTTAATGATCCAATCAATTTACACTTAATGTGATTACTGGTAAAGAAATATTTATCTTCCATTTTTTCTCATTTTCTGTATTGTGCCTTTTTTGTTTCTCATTTCCCTAATTACTAGCTTTTTTAAAAAAAATTTATTTATTTATTTATTTGAAAGGCAGAGTTACAGAGAGGGAGAGGCAGAGGAAGAAGCTTCTTCCAGGTCTCCCATGTTGATGCAGGGGCCCAAGGACTTGGGCCATCTTCTGCTGCTTTCCCAGGCCATCAGCAGGAAGCTGGATTGGAAATGGAGCAGCCAAGACACAAACAGGCACCCATATGGGATGCCAATGTGGCAGGAACATTGGCATCCCATATGGGCACTGGTTCATGTCCCAGCTGCTCCACTTCCAATCCAGCTCCCTGCTGATGGCCTGGGGAAAGCAGCAGAGGATGGCTCAAGGATTTGGGACCCTGCCACCCATGTAGGAGACCCAGACGAAGCTGCTGGTTCCTGACTTCCACTGTGACCATTTGGGGAGTGAACCAACAGATGGAAGATCTTTCTGTCTCCCCCTCTTTCTCTGTTATTCTGCCTTTCAAATAAATAAGTCGTTAGAAAAAGAAATATATATTCACCTGTGACATCATCTTTAAAATGGTTTCCATTTTTTCTCATGGCTTTAAGTTGCTATCTTATATACTTTCATTTTAGCTCCTTTTTATAATTCCTGCCTATTTATTGGTATTCCTATTTTGTTTTACTCAAGTTCTTTATCCATGGTGACTTTTAGCTCATTAAACACATTGAAGGCCATTCACTCAATGTCTTTGGCTGATAATTCCTACACCAGGCTTCCCCAGGAAAGGTTCTATCAAATTCCTTTTAACTTGGCTGGCACTGTGGCTCACTAGGCTAATCCTCCGCCTGTGGCGCCGGCACACCGGGTTCTAGTCCCGGTTGGGGCGCCAGATTCTGTCCCGGTTGCCCCTCTTCCAGGCCAGCTCTCTGCTGTGGCCAGGGAGTGCAGTGGAGGATGGCCCAGGGCTTGGGCCCTGCACCCGTATGGGAGACCAGGAGAAGCACCTGGCTCCTGGCTTTGGATCAGCGCGGTGCGCCGGCCGCAACAGCCATTGGAGGGTGAACCAACGGCAAAAGGAAGACCTTTCTCTCTGTCTCTCTCTCTCACTGTCCACTCTGCCTGTCAAAAAAAATTTTTTCTTTTAACCGGACATTAATGAGCCATACACTCTTGTTCCTTTGTCTTTTCCTAATTTTATGCTGAAAGTGGACATCCTGAGTATCATATCTTGATAACTCTAGAAATCTAATCCTCTTGGGGCCAGCACTGTGGTGCAGCAGGTTAAAGCCCTGCCTTGAAGCCTCAGCCTCCCATATGGGTGCCAGTTCTAGTCCTGGCTGCTCCACTTCCAATCCAGCTCTCTGCTTTGGCCTGGGAAAGCAATGGAAGATGGCCCACATCCTTGGGCCCTTGCACTTGCTTGGGAGACCTGGAATAAGCTCCTGACTCCTGGGTTCAGATGGGTGCAGCTCCGGCCATTGCAGCCAATTGGGGAGTGAACCAATGGATGGAAGACCTCTCTCTCTGCCTCTCCTTCTCTCTGTGTAACTCTGACTTTCAAATAAATAAATAAATCTTTTTTAAAAAAATCTAATCCTCTCACTTCTCAAAGATTCCTGATTTTTGCTTGTTGGGGATTGGAGCCATCCATTTGTCTCTCTCTCTCTCTCTCTTTTTAAGATTTTATTTATTTATTTGAGAGGTAGAGTTAGAGACAGTGAGAGGGAGAGACAGAAAGAAAGGTCTTCTGTCCGCTGGTTCACTCCCCAAATGGCCACAATGGCCAGAGCTGCGCCAATCTGAAGCCAGGAGCCAGGAGCCTCCTCCCAGTCTCCCACATGGGTGCAGGGACCCAAGGACTTGGGCCATCTTCTACTGCTTTCCCAGGCCACAGCAGAGAGCTGGACTGGAAGAGGAGCAACCGGGACTAGAACCTGGCTCCCATATGGGATGCTGGTGCCGCAGGCAGAGGATTAACCAAGTGAGCCACGGCGCCGGCCCCCATTTGTCTCTTTTTCAAGCTATTTCTGCTACGCAGAATATTCCTGCTTTGTTGTCTCTGAGATCAGTCAGTGACCTGACAAGTGTTTCTTTAAAGTACCCACAAGTAGTTCCCAAAAGGAGAAAAACAAAAACCACTGTCTCTCTACATTCCCTCAAAAGATCTGCTTGGAAGCTTCTCCAGCCCCTGAGGTCTGAAACAGTGGCCAGTGCCAGTGTGGTCCCTCAGGATCTAGCAGCAGTCAAACCACATCTCCTGAGTTTCGGAGGACAAGGTTGCCATTGTCCACCTTGGCACCAGCAAGCTTCACAAGAACGTGGGCTGCTGGCCACACCGCGTCCTGCCACAGGACGCAGGCATGGGGAATGGCAGCCGCTACCCGGAGCGTGGAAATCCACTACAACGTATCCATCTCTTCCCTGAGCTCGCCCTTAGACACTGCAAATGTTGTACTAGACTCCAGTTTCCCAAAACAGCTGCCTAAGATCACTCTTGCCAGTTCAACTGTTGCTTTCATAAAGGGACACAGTTCTAGAGCTTCTCACCCAACCACCTCCCACTTAACCTTAGTTTCCTTCAAATGGCAGTAGAGAGGCTTGAAGTAAATCAATGAGTCACGACCTAGAATCAGCTGGAGGGCTTTGAAAACTACGGATGCCAAGTCTCACCCCACACCGCAGACTTCGGCGGGGCAGGGCTCTCTGTCACTGTCTCCCCAGGAGGATTCCCAGTGCTCCAAGATGGTGGTCCTGCTCCTGCTACTTGGATTGTTATTTGAGGAGCAGGGTCCTTTCCAAGTGTTTACCTTCTATGCTTTAATTTCTTGGGACTTCAGCACTTAGAGGAATAGCTTCTAGCCTCCAGGAAAAGTACTTGCCATCCACCCAGAGCAGAGGAACAGGCTCCTTAGGAAAAACCACTGGCAAACACAGCCTCAAAGTTTCACGTTCAAAGGTTACTCACCAAATAATTTGGCCAAATTTTCTTCTTCCAGATCAGAACTTGATACAAATTCCGAATTGGTCAAGTTCTTCGGTTGGGGAAAACCTACGGGAAATAAACCTTAGCTGTGGTTAAATCTTTCTTTGGATGGGTGCCGGTTCAAGTCTCGGCTGCTCCACTTCTGATCCAGCTCTCTGCTATGGCCTGGGAAAGCAGTGGAAGATGACCTAAGTGCTTGGGCCCCTGAACCCACGTGGGAGACCCGGAAGAAAGCTCCTGGCTCCTGGCTTTGGATCAGTGCAGCTCTGCTCCGGCTGTTGAGACCATCTGGGGAGTGAACCAGTGGATGGAAGACCTTTCCCTCTATGTCTGTCTGTCTGTCTGTCTCTCTGTCTCTCTATGACTCTGGATGGAGGGTGGCTCAAGTGCTTGGGCCCCTGCCTCCCCTGTGGGAGATCCATATGGAGTTCTGGGCTCTCAGTTTTGGTCTGGACCATTCCTGACCATTGCAGCTATTTGGGGAGTCAACCAGCAGATGCAAGATCTCTGTCTCCCCCTTTCTCTGTAACTCTGCCTTTCAAATAAATTTTCTTTTTAAATTTCTTTTAAAAGGCAAAGGGAGACAGACAGAACTGTCATCTGTCATCCATTGGTTTACACCCTAAATGCCTGCAACAGCCAAAGGTTGGACCAGGCCAAAGCCAGAAGCCGGGAACTCAATCCATGTAGGCAGCAGGGACTCGAGGACCTGAGCCATCCCCTGCTGCTTCCCAGGAGCTACCTTCGCAGGAAGCTGGAGTCGGGAGCACAGCCCGTCGGGAAGCCAGGCCCTCCACCGTGGGACAGGAGCATTCTAAGTGGTGTCTTCCCCACCAGACCAAATGCCCCTTCACCTCCACGTTTGTTTACGTGTGTAGCCAACTGCTGCTTCTCAGCTCTGACATCAGAGTGCTCTGGGCACAGACTTTACAGAAGCCAGGGCAGGAGCGGGGTTGATGGACAGGCACGTGGGAAGGCTTTGCTGCCCCAGATGCCGACCAGTGCACACACAGGCAGTGAACTTGGAAGGGCTGCTAAATAGAAAGTTATCACAGTACTCATAGCTCATGTTCCAAGGAACAGCGAACCCCAAATGGAAATTGTGTTTCTGGCCTCTGAACAGATCCTAGAGTGTCAGAACCTGACAGCATGTGTCCGTGTTTACTCCAAAATATAGAGACGGTCACACTTTAGGCCATGGATTGCATAGCTGGTGAAAGATTAGAGCCGGTGCCGCGGCTCACTAGGCTAATCCTCCGCCTTACGGCGCCGGCACACCGGGTTCTAGTCCCGGTTGGGGCGCCGGATTCTGTCCCGGTTGCCCCTCTTCCAGGCCAGCTCTCTGCTGTGGCCCGGGAGTGCAGTGGAGGATGGCCCAAGTGCTTGGGCCCTGCACCCCATGGGAGACCAGGAGAAGCACCTGGCTCCTGCCATCGGATCAGCGCCGTGCGCCTGCTGCGGCGGCCATTGGAGGGTGAACCAATGGCAAAAGAAGACCTTTCTCTCTGTCTCTCTCTCTCACTGTCCACTCTGCCTGTCCAAAAAAAAAAAAAAAAAGATTAGAGAGAGACGATTTTGGACAATTCTCTCACATCTCAGTTTTGATCTTGTCTCACTTGGTATCCAGTTACAAGAAGTCTAAAATGATAGCATAGCACACGTCATACACAGTAGAAACCTACAGAGGTTCCTGCACTTCTAGTGTTCACCACATACACTTGCCTTCTTCCATGTCTTTCAGGGCAAGTAATTTGTCTGCCGTTCTTGCATCCTCAAACGGTGCATCGTACGGGCCTTTGGACAACACTTGCAGTAGGATTTCATCTCCAGTGAAGAAAACAAAGGCATGTTAATACCAGCAATGCACGCGGGATTCGTATATTTTGCCATGTAAATTCCTAAAGTGGTCTATTGACTAAACAATCCAGATTCGAAGGACACAGGAGGTTACGCTCCCCGGTCTTGGGAAGGGACGCTCCCGCTACCTACATCATCTGGAAAATTGTGGTTGCCGACAACACCCTGGGCGGGAAACACTGCTCCTTCCAGGGGTAGGGCTGGGATTTGCCCCACATCCTTTGACAGCTGGTGCTATTATCTTCCCTTTGTTCCTGTTGTCATTCTGACCCACGTCTCCAAGACCTTCCGCACGCCATTCCCATGCGTGGACAGACCGCATTCCTGTTCCCCCAAGATTCACATCTTCCTTTGAGACTGCCTCCCCCGGGAAGCCTTCCGCAGTGAGTTCCTGCATGGGTGGCACACAGACCTAGACCCCAATCCCGATTTACTCTCTACCCAAACATGACTGGAGGCAAGTCCCTTCCCCTCTGACCTTTAGGGTGGGGACAGTGCTAACTCCTAGGAAGGACTCGTGAAATTGGAAGATATCGACGCCTAGAAGGAATTTAACAGTGCCAGTGTGAGGATTATTCTGGAAACTTCTCATCATCGCCATCCTTAAAACAGTTCCCCAGGTCAGCTAGTAAATGCTGCTAGGGGGCTGCTCAGGGGAGCTTTGCACGAGTGGAATAAGTAGGTGGGGAAGAAAAAAAGGCACCCGAGGGAAACATATCACTGACCCAGGACAGAGAGAGAAGTGTGTGTGGCAGACTCTGCACTCCCATCACCTGCCACTCTCAGGCCTAATTGTGCTCCCAGCTGCCAGGGCCAAACTCTCAGACAGACACACCCTTCCCGACCCTCCCTAGCAGCCAGAGCAGTGCCACGGGACACAGAGGCCCTCAGAAGATTCCTGGGACCCAAGGAGAGTACTGCTCTGGACGGAAGAGAAAGAAACGCTGCTGCACCTCCTCCTCTCCTCTTCCTCCTACTTTGAAAGCAGATGTGATGTCTGGAGCTGCAGAGGCCATTTTGTGAGCCACAGGCACAAGCACCAGGAAAGACCCTGAGGGTCTCAGAGAAACTGCCCGTAACCTAAGCTACTACAGCAAAGCCATCATTGCCTCTCTCAGACGGCTGCAACGGAAGGAAAAAGCAAGTCGCTCTTGAAGCCACTGTGAGTCATTGATGGTTTTCCAGGAATTTCAGCCAAGTCCATTGTCAACCGGCACAGGCACTGTGGGAACACCTGGACTCGCCTTGCCACAATGACCTTGGCCGCTTTATGGAAGAACCGAGCCTAAGTTCCTGAAGATCACTGTGCCCCTTAGACTGGGATGGAGCAGAAGACTGTGTCGTTCCTGCGACGAGCTTTCCGGAGCTCCGGCTCTGCACAGCAGCTGTAGGAGGTGCCGGCAGCTCAGAGAACAAAGAGAGCCGGCGCCCGTCTGCATCCCCGAGATACAGAGGGGCAGAAGCAGGCATGCAGACATGACCAGACACACCGACACAGCCACACCGGGCAGCAAAGCAAGAGCTGAGAAAGGGAGCGGAGGAAGATAACCAGTCACCAGGGGGCTGCTGCAGACCCACGTCAGTCCCACAGCAGGGCCACCTATGGTGTCCTGTAACACACACACACACACACACACACCCCGCCACCAAGCCATCAGAAGAGAATCCAGAGCAGGAGGGGGCCTGAGTGTGACATTCCATACAACAAACCCACGGAGAAAAGCTGTCTTAGAAACGATAAATCTCGGGGCCGGTGCTGGTGCGTAGCAGGTAAAGCTGCCACCTGCAGCGCCAGCATCCCTTATGGGCACCGATTCAAGTCCCAGCTGCTCCATTTCTGATCCAGCTCCCTGCTAATGCACCTGGGAAAGCAGCAGAGGATGACCCAAGTGCTTGGGCCCCTGCACCCACATCAGAGACCCGGAAGAAGCTCCTGGCTCCTGGCTTCAGCCTGGCCCAGCCCTGGCTGTTGTAGCCATCTGGGGAGTGAACCAGCAGGTGGAAGACATCTCTCTCTCTCTCTCTCTCTCTCTCTCTCTCTCTGCCTCTCCTCTCTCTGTGTAACTCTGACTTTCAAATAAATAAAATCCATCTTTAAAAAAAAAAGGATAAATCTCATTTACAAATGCTGTGCATGAAAGTATACCCACGAAATCTGGGTGGAGGCTGTGGGGTAGAAGGGAAGCTTAACAAATTCCATAAGCTGGTGGAGCTCTTTGCTTATGAAACAGTTGCTAATACTTCAGAGTTACTTTTTTAATATGAGGGTACTTCAAAATGCTTGTGGAAAATAGAACTAAAGGAAAAGTTTGCTTTCGTAGCAAAACGTTTGAAATCCATGCATGCTTTTTTCCTACGCTGTGTTTTCCCATGAACTTTTTGAAGACTCCTCATATTAAGTTCTCTTCCCATCTAAAGCTTTCTCCAGGAAACAGAGTTTTATTTCCCCTCTGGCTTTATTTTGCTAAGCCACAAGAAAGAATCACCACACTCTGCACTCACATCATCCATATTCCAAGTCCACTTTCAAGGCTGTTGGCCCCGGGTGAGGGTTTGCCCACTACACGGAACAGGTGCTTTCAATAGACACGGGAAAAATCACCGTCCGCTTCACCAGGAGTAAACAGCAAGTTCTCACCTCCCCCGCCCCGTGATGAATGTGTAGGGACCTACAAGTTCCTGAAACGCCACCCAGATGGAAGCTGCCGAGTGGATCAGTGCCTGCCTGCGCTACGGCACCGGCAGGTTGGTAGGTCCTTGGCGGGTAACGACAGGATCCTCCCAAACCCTGGCCCAGACTCCTATCTCCAGAGGCGCTCACTCTCCTCTGACACACGAGGGGCTGTGGCGCTGGGGTCACCACAGAACAGCCCTCTGGCTCCTAGACAGCACTTGCTGAACACACAGCTGGTGCACCTGCGAGAGCAACCTGCATCCATTCATCCGTCAGGGCTGGCCACCCGCCAGTCAGCGGGCAGTGCCGACTGGCTGAGCCCTCTTTGGGAGCGCTGGCGGAAGCAGGGCAAACCCAGAGTTCCCGACCTGGGACAGCTCCTGCGACAGAGTCCGCCATGTGTGGAGAGGTGCCCCTCCTGCAGGCAGGGTGGCCAGGCGCCTCTGATCCAACAGCGGCAGCCCAGCGGGAAGCAGCAGCGCTCGCTCACTCTCCCAGGAGCTCTCTCTCCCGCCAGAGGCGGCCCTCAGCCTGACCCTCTTAGCACCAGGGAGAACTCACCAAAATGGGGCCGGCTTCCTTCAGCACACGGCTGGGGCCCAGACCTGTCTCAGCCTCAGGCCTCTGCTGAAGGTGACGGCCTGGGCCTGGCCTGAGCTGTTCTTGAGTTAAATGAGAGACTTCTAGTACATCAGTCAGCCCCAGCCTGGAGGCACCCGAAGGACTCTAGCATCCACTGCACAAACATCCCCCCCCCCATGGCCGATGGCCGGGCAGGGCGGGACGCCTCTTTGTAACAATCTCCCCAGGACAGGCACGGGCTCAGCCTCAGGCAGGGATGAGAGCCCCCACCCCCCACCCTGAGAAGGTCCCCGTCCTCTGGAAGGGGCAGGTGGGATGCAGCTGGTCTGTGGTGCACTCTCCCTCTGCACCTGCGAGGGGCTCCGGATGGAGGAGCCTTGGCCGCTGTGAGGAGCAGGGCCTTTCCCGGGGTTTCTCCCCTGGGCTTGGCTTAATTTCTAGGGACTTTGACATTTAGAGGAGCAGCGTCTAGCCTGAAAACAAAGCGCTCGCTTTGCCCCCTAAGCAGCAGGAACAGGTCCCCTTGGAAACAACCAGGGATGAGCAGGGCTACTTACCAAATAGTTTAGCCAAACCTTCATCCTCATTTTTAATGCTTGAGGAAAATTTATTGGCTGGGCCTGTGGAGAAAGTAAATTCAGCTGTGATGAAAGGGCTCCCTGGGTCTGCCTGGACGGGGGTCCCCCTTAGTCACCCGGCATCGACCCCCGTGGGTGCCTGAGGATATGGACACATACACACGTTCAACGCCTTTTCTATCTTAACACAGTCCTTGGGCCCCTGCACCTGCATGGGAGACCCGGAAGAAGCTCCTGGCTCCTGGCTTCGGATCGGCACAGCCCCAGCTGTTGCGGCCATCTGGGGAGTGAACCAGCAGATGGAAGACCCCTTTCTCTCTCTCCCTCTCTGCCCCTGCCTCTCTGTAATTCTATCTTTCAAATAAATAAATAAATCTTTAAAAAAAAAAAAAAAGAATCGATACAATGCCAGCATGACGCCTCCAGTAAGCTCATGAGTAAAAGATCATAAACACCCTTTGGGTTTTTTTTTTTTTTTTCTTTTTGACAGGCAGAGTTAGTGAGAGAGAGAGACAGAGAGAAAGGTCTTCCTTCCGTTGGTTCACCCCCCAAATGGCCGCTACTGCCGGTGCTGCACTGATCCGAAGCCAGGAACCAGGTGCTTCCTTCTGGTCTCCCATGCGGGTGCAGGGCCCAAGCACTTGGGCCATCCTCCACTGCACTCCCGGGCCACAGCAGAGAGCTGGCCTGGAAGAGGGACAACCGGGACAGAACCGGCGCCCCAACCAGGACTAGAACCTGGAGTACCAGCTCCACAGGCGGAGGATTAGCCTAGTGAGCTGCGGTGCTGGCCCATTTTGTCTCTTACGTGTGCGTGGGCATTTGGGTTGTTTTTACCATTTGGATATTATGAAAACTCCTGTTATGAAAAGTGACCTGGATCTCCTTCCTCGATGTTTAGTCACCTCCTGCTTTTAGAACCACTTTCGCTATTTTACTAAACTTAACTGGCTGACCACATTCCTTGTAATTCTCTGTGTTAAGTCTCTGTGTTAAGTCACTGGGTCTGTGTACTCGATGGCAGTTGGTTGACCTCTGCGAGTTTATTTTCTTTGAGTAAATGTGGTCTGGCTGCGAGTTCGTATTCTGTCTCCTCTCTGTACTTTTCCTCACATTTGGTGCTCCCTGTGAGGAGGCACCAATCTGTGCCCCTTTTTCTAACACTCTGTCTCTCCCCACCCCCACCCCATCACTCTACCTTTCAAATAAATAAACAAAATAGTTAGAAAACTTTTATAATCAAAAGTTAAAATGCACACGTATGCTACAACCCCATGGAGCTCTGAACTTTGAGTAAGCTTCAAAATTTGGAAAACTTTTGAGGTTACTCCCTCTTCCAAGCACTAAATCCCTAATGGCAAGTATAGGGAGGTAAGATGGCAGGCAGGGAGAACGCCTGTGTCCACCACACCAGCCCCCGATGTAGGCTCCCAGAATCACTCGCTGCCACACAGACACACTGCGACAGTACCTTCGATCAGGTTGATAGGGTGAGGCTTGGTATCTTGCCAGAAAACCAAGAGGAAAACACAGAGGATCAGAGCTCTGCTCATCTTTGCTGAGGTCTGTCCGCTATCAAGGAGAAAATGAACTCCTGAAGAGTCCTCCCACTCAATAGCCTTGACTCCAGGATACAGTAGAACCCAGTGGTCTGTGAGATCACACCCAGAGGGCGGGGCAGGGGCGGGGCTATCTGCAGGGGGAGGGGCGTGTCCATGGACAGGGACAGAGGGGGACAACACAGTGGCAAGATATATATTTAAGATTTTATTCATATATTTGAGAGGCAGAGTTAGAGAGAGAGAGAGAGAGAGAGAGAGAGAGATCTTCCATCTGCTGGTTCACTCCCCAAGTGGCTGAAACAGAGATGGGTCAATATGAAGCCTGGAGCTTCTTCCGGGTCTCCCGCATGGGTGCAGGGGTCCATTGCTCTACCCAGGCACATTAGCAGGAAGCCAGATCGGAAGTAGAACAGCCAGGACTTGAACTGATGCCTGTACACGGGATGCCAGCACCACAGGTGGAGGCTTAATCTATTATACCATAGCGCTGGCCCCACAGTGGCAAAATATTAACCAGGACTCTTCAGAAGTGAGGAACAAAAACTCAACCCAATCAGCTTAAGACAACTGGATGTAGCTAGAGTAACCAGAAAAACTGTATGATTAACCAAGATGCCACATTAAGTGTTGTTACTGGGGGGCTGGTGCTGTGGTGTAGTGAGCTAAGCCCTCGCCTGCAGCACAGGCATCCCCTATGGGCGCCGGTGCAAGACCCAGCTGCTCCACTTCTGATCCAGCTCTCTGCTGTGGCCTGTGAAAGCAGTAGAAGATGACCCAAGTCCTTGGGCCCCTGCACCCACATGGGAGACCCAGAAGAAGTTCCTGGCTCTTGGCTTCGGATCAGTGCAGCTCTGGCCATTGTGGCCATGTGGAGAGTAAACCAGCCAATGGAAAACTCTCTCTCTCTCTCCCTCTCTCTCTCTCTTCCTCTCTGTGTGTCTCCTTTCCTCTCTCTGTCACTCTTTCAGATAAATAAATAAATCTTTAAAAAATGGAAAGTCCTGAAATAAATTCATACATGTAAGATCAATTAACTAGCAAAGGTGTTGAGGTAATTCAATGAAGAAAGCACATTTTTTTAAACAAAAAGTATTGAAATAATTTGGAGCCATCTTGGGCCCTGCACCCGCATGGGAGACCAGGAGGAAGCACCTGGCTCCTGGCTTCAGATTGGCGCAGCGCCGGCTGTAGCGGCCATTTGGGGGGTGAACCAACGGAAGGAAGACCTTTCTCTCTGTCTCTCTCTCTCACTGTCTAACTCTGCCTGTCAAAAAAATAATAATAATAATTTGGAGCCAGTGCAATAAGCAAAAATTGGTAACAACCCAAATATCCACAAAAGGTGAAATAGACAAGTTCTGGCATATCCATATAATGAAACATTACTAAGCAATCAAAAGTAATAAAAATATTGTGCAATGATACGCAGCAATCAAAATAACTGTGACGAGTGAAAGAAATAAAACAAAGTGCACAGGACAGGGGTCCATCTACATCCAGCGCTAGAAAATGACAGCTAATCCATAGCACAGAAAGCTGGCTGTGCTGGCTTGTGTTTGGGAAAACCCAGCATACAAGAATCAGCTGCCTAGGACACATCCAAAATCACACCAGCTGTAATCTACTGGGATTAGGGGGATTTACAGACAGAAGAGTGGCCTCCAGTGGCTGCAAGATGCAGGGCTCTAATAGACAAAGCTGGCCTGTGACTAACCTAAATGCATCTGGACTTTCTCAAGAAATACTAATATTCCAGGCATCAGACAAGAGACATTCCAGGGTCCAGCCAGCAAGATAAGCCCAGTGGTTTACCTTGGATGACTTTCTTTACCCCATATGGATTAGAATGACCTCCAGGGAAACTTAGAGGGCAAGATGGTGGTTACATCCAAGATGGGTGGACTCATGTCTAGTTGAGTTCCAACAGGATGAAAGGTGGAACTAGGAGGAGAGGAAGGGATTTCGAAGGCGCACAATAAAACTTCTGGGTTGGGGCCAGCGCTGTGGCACAGCGGGTTAAAGCCCCAGCCTGCAGCACCGGCAACCCATATGGGCACCAGTTCAAGTCCCGGCTGCTCCACTTCTGATCCAGCTCTCTGCTATGGCCTGGAAAAGCAGTGGAAGATGGACCAAGTCCTTGGGCCCCTGCACCCGCGTGGGAGACCCAGAAGAAGCTCCTGGCTTCAGATGAGCTCAGCTCTGGCCATTGTGGACATTTGGGGAGTGAACCAGCGGATGGAAGAACTCTCTAGCTCTATCCCTCTCTGTAACTCTGTCTTTCAAATAAATAAAATAGATCTTTAAAAAACAAAAACAAAAAAACTTCTGGGTCAATAGTCAGCTTCATTATTTCAATTGGGAAAATGGTTTCATGAGTGTATTCATATATCAAAACTCATAAAATTGTACTTTTTAAAACAGATTTATTGGAGCCTGTGCTGTGGTGTAGCAGGTAAAACTGCCACCTGAACACTGGCATCCCATATGGGTGCCGGTTCAAGTCCCAGCTGCTCCACTTCTGATCCAGATCCCTGCTAAAGGCCTGAAAGAAGTAGCAGAAGATGGCTCAAGTTCTTAGGCCCCTGCACCCACGTGGGAGACCTGGAAGAAACTCCTGGCTCGGCTTGGATTGGTCCAGCTCCAGCTGTTGAGGCCATTTGGGGAGTAAACTAGCGTATGGAAGCTCTCTCTCTCTCTCCCTCTCTCTGTAACTTTGCCTTTCAAATAAATAAATAAATCTAATAAAAAAAAAAAAAAAAAAGAAATCCCAAATGGCCGCAATGGCCAGGGCTGGGCCAGGCCAAAGCCAGGAGCCTGGAACTCCATCTGGGTCTCCCACGTGGGTGCAGGGGCCCAAGCAATCAGGCCATCTTTCACTGCTTTCCCAGGTGCTTTAGCAGGGAGCTGGATCAGCAGCGGAGCAGCTCATACGGGATGCTGCTGTAGCGGCAGCAACTTATCCTACCTCCCCACAGTGCCAGCCCCGAATTATAATCTTTATATACATGCAGTTATCATGTCACTCATATTTCAATAAAGCTATGAGAAAATGCAGTGCATCAAGTGGTCCTATTTTCCTACCTATGAGTGATACCAAGATCAGATAGCAAGATAGAGTTCTGATTTGAAGAGGACATATGAAGCCCAAGTATCTGTGCCTTCAGTTACCCAACCTTCCACCCTACTTGAAGGGAATAGCAAAGAGAGGAATCTACGGGCAGGCATTTGACATTGAAATGCCACTTGGGACACCCACACCACACATCAGTGCCTGGGTTTGAGTCCCACTCCACTCCCAACTCCAGTTTCCTGCTAATGTATGCCCTGGGGAGGCTGCAAATGATGGCTCAAGTCCTGAGGCCCTGCTGCCCACATGGGAAACCAACCCAGGTGGACTCACTGGTTCCTGGCTTCAGCCTGGCCCAGCCTGGCTGTCCCTGACATTCAGGGAATTTGGGTAGTGACCAGCAAATAGGATCTCTCTCCGTCTCTGTTTCTGCCTTTCAAATAAATATTTTTTGGCCGGCGCCGTGGCACACTAGGCTAATCATCCACCTTGCGGTGCCGGCACACCAGGTTCTAGTCCCGGTTGGGGCGCCGGATTCTGTCCCGGTTGCCCCTCTTCCAGGCCAGCTCTCTGCTGTGGCCAGGGAGTACAGTGGAGGATGGCCCAAGTGCTTGGGCCCTGCACCCCATGGGAGACCAGGAGAAGCACCTGGCTCCTGCCATCGGATCAGCGCGGTGCGCTGGCCGCAACTCGCCGGCCGCAGCAGCCATTGGAGGGTGAACCAAAGGCAAAGGAAGACCTTTCTCTCTGTCTCTCTCTCTCACTGTCCACTCTGCCTGTCAAAAATAAATAAATAAATAAATAAATAAATATTTTTTTACAAATGGGAATCCAACCAGGATCCCCTGCAAAAGTGCATCCCATCCTCACAGAGTTAATTTCGCTGGCTTGTACTTAACGTTTTGAGTTGCTCACTGCTCACTGGTGGTTACAATCGCTTATCTGTAGGAGAAGCCTGGAGGAGGCCGCATCAGGCCCAGCATTCCATCATCTCTGTCTTGCTTTTTTTTTTTTTTTTTTTTTTTGACAGGCAGAGTGGACAGTGAGAGAGACAGAGAGAAAGGTCTTCCTTTTTGTTGGTTCACCCCACAATGGCCGCTTTGGCCGGCATACTGCGCTGATCTGATGGCAGGAGCCAGGTATTTATCCTGGTCTCCCATGGGGTGCAGGGCCCAAGCACTTGGGCCATCCTCCACTGCCCTCCCGGGCCACAGCAGAGAGCTGGCCTGGAAGAGGGGCAATTGGGACAGAATCCGGCACCCCAACCGGGACTAGAACCCAACTAGTGCCAGCGCTGCAAGGCGGAGGATTAGCCTAGTGAGCCGCGGCGCCGGCTCTGTCTTGCTTTTGAGATCTGTCTTTGGGAAATTGCCATCACTGGAAACTTTGGAAGTTTCCACAGACCCCACCCCATGGCTTCTCCGTGTCTGCGTTGGCCCGTGGGTCCATTTTGCCTTTATGAGTAAGGGGAGCGTGGGCAGTAGTTACAGAAATTGAGCGTCAAGGGAACCCAAGTGCAGGTAGCACAAGGGGGTGCTGCGAGGATGGGAGGAGGGGCGGGGAGGCCAGGGCAGGGTAAAGCCACTGCCTGTGATGCCAGCATCCCACAAGGGTACTGGTTTGAGTCCCGGCTGCTCCATTTCCCATCCAGCTCTCTGCTAATGTGCCTAGGAAAGCAGTAGAAGATGGCTCAAGTTCTTGGGCCCCTGTACCCACGTGGGAGATCCAGAAGAAGCTCCTGGCTTTTGACCAGCCCAGCTCTGGCCTTGTGGCCACTTGGGGAGTGAGCCAGCAGATGCAAGTCCTCTTTGTAAACTTTGCCTTTCAAATAAATAAAATAAATCTTTTTAAAAAAGTAAATATATGCATGTTCAAGGTAAAACAAGTCAATATAAAATTTCACCTGGTAACAATGAATTCATTCACATTTACCAATGGTTCCTTCCTCACATTAAAAAGACTTTTTTTTTTAAGATTTTATTTTATTTATTTGAAAGACAGAGTTACAGAGAGAGGTAGAGCCAGAGAGAGAGGTCTTGCATCCACTGGTTCACTCCCCCAAAAGACCACAACAGAGGAGCTGAACTGATCTGAAGCCAGGAGCCAGGAGCTTCTTCCAGGTCTCCCACATGGGTGCAGGGGCCCAAGGACTTGGGCCATCTTCTGCTTTCCCAGGCCATAGCAGAGAGCTGGATCAGAAGTGGAACAGCCCAGACTCGAACCAGCACCCATATGGGATGCTGGTGCCACAGGCAGTGGCTTTTCCCACCACGCCACAGTGTTGGCCCCTTAAATAACTATTTTTTAAAAGGTAAATAAAATGCTGTAGCGGCCATTTGGGGGGTGAACCAACGGAAGGAAGACCTTTCTCTCTGTCTCTCTCATTAACTCTGCCTGTCAAAAAAAAAAAAAAAAGTAAATAAAATGAAGTTCTGTCATAGTTCTGTAAATATTGTTAAAAATTAATTTTTCGAAGACTCCGCTACAACTATGTTGCAAGGACTTAATCCAAGGTAAATTAAGCAGAAATGTTCCGCAGGCACAGAGGACAATATCAAATTATCACACAACTGTAATTGTTACAAGGAAAAGGGCTCTTCTCCGTGGTTAATAAAGAAGTGCTTTGGATGGAATTCCCAGAGCCAGCCAGCACCCTCGGGGACCGCGTGGTCACGAAGGAGCGAGGTCCAAGGCGCTGAGGTACCTTCGTCCTGTCCTCTCGGACAAGTCGCACTCGCTGACCCTCCACTCCGGTCTGTGGACCCCGGCCCCGCCCACGGACCCGTCCAGCGCCACCTTCTACACCCCGCTTCTCCTTTAAGAACCGAGCCATGACGTCACCCTCGTCGCGGCGCAGCCTATCTTGGCAACGCCCCTGCCGTTCTTCCGGACAGCTCCAATTGGCTAGTCGGCCCCAGGAGGCCCCGCCCCTTCCCTCGCAGGCGGGCCGGAGCGCCCGCAGTCAATCGGGCCAGGTGGGAGCGATGATTGGCCGCAGGGCCCGCCCTCCAGCCAGCCCCGGCGGGCTCGCGTAGGCTGCGCGCTGGGGTGGGAGGAGCGCGGCTCCGCTTTGGGAGCAGCCGCTGTCCCCGTCAGCCCGCCCGCCGGTCCCTCCTGCGGCCCGCCTGCTGGGCAGGGCCGGCCCGGCCCAGACATGGAGTCCTACGACATCATCGCCAACCAGCCCGTGGTCATCGATAACGTGAGAGGCCCGGCAGCCGGGGGGAGGGCGGGTGTGCCGCCCCCGGGGGCGCACGCGGCGGCGCTGGGAGGGACCCCCGCGCATCCCCGCTAGTCCTCCGAGCGCCGCCAGCCGCCCCCGCCTGGCCGCTCGGTTTGCCCCAGGGCCTCGCGCCCGCCTGGCCCTGTAGCCTTGGCCTTGGGGCAGCCTCTCTGCTGGTGCCGCGGAGCCCCTGCCCCCATCTTTCCTACGGCGGAGCGGAAAAGTGCGGGAGATGCTGGGTGACAGCCGGGCGGCTGGCCGGTCGGTGCACCTGTGCGTTAAGCTCGGGCGGGACACGGACCCTCCTCGGTTGAGAGTAGAGTCAGTGGGCAGGTTGCGACCCCAGCCCTTGTGCCCATCGTGCGGCCCTGGCGCTGGCTGCCTGATGGAGGTGGTGCCTCTGCCCTTTGGCACACCGCTAGCCTCTTCTTTGGGAGGTGGCTCCCCAGGTGATCTGCACAACAGCGCTTCCCAAGGGGACTGCACCCCGGCGGAAAACAAAAATACAGGTTACTTTCACCCAGCCACATATCCGCCCCCACTGGTTGGCCCTTCGGCTCCTGTGATCCTCGGTGTCGAGCAGAAATGCCGGGGCCTCTTCCCAGGACGTAGAAGCAATTGGAGGCAGTTGTTTGGAAGCCTCGGAGGAAAGATGCCTTGGCCCTCAGTACAGGAGCTATGCTTTCAGCTGCCCCAGGAGGGAAGATAAGGGCTGGGGACTATGGATCCACCCCTAGCTGGGTTTCTACTCTGGTGTACCGGCCTTGGAGTTTGCAAAAATGATTCACTCCTCTGTTTTCTGGGACCTGAATCCTCCCCTCCCCCTTGACCCTGGTGGGGTCCCCATGGCAGTCTTTTGGAGAACCCCTGTGGGCTCACCTGAGTCCCATAGGCAATGTTTAACAGGAGGCTGTTCTGCATGGGGTGTGCTGTCAAAGCACGTCTCCAGCAGGCTGCAGGAACCCCCAGACGGCTTCCCTTGTAGCTGGGCAAGTCATGCACGCAGGCTAACCCAGGAACCCCCGCACCCGGAACCTGGAGATGTGTGTGCACTTGGGATGGAGACTGGTGGGAAGGGGAATGGAGAAAGACGCCAGTTGTCCCATGCATCCAGTGGCCTCACTGGCAGGCCTTTTGATGGTCCATGTTAACTGGGGTGGGGGAAGGCTGTTGGGGGCTGCTTCTGGCCGACTCTTGGCACTTGTCCCCTGGATTCCTCCTGCCTGGAGCCAGCCCTAGAGTATGGGGAGGAATGTATGTCTCACAGCTTCTCAGTCTGTACTGTTGACCTCCTGGATTGGGTGATTGTTGGTATGGGGGTGTCCTGTGCATCCTTGCCCACCCAATGCCGGTAGCAGCACCCCCCTACCCGCGACCTCAGTCACCAGGCACACCCAGAAGTATATTTGGAAGTGATCTTGGTCTCTCAGCAGGATCTCTGGCTTCCTCCCCAGCCCTCAGTGGGGCAGCCAGCTCTCTCCTCTGCTGTGCACGGTGCTTCATCAGGAGCTAAATGTTGTTTTTCTTTGCAGGGTTCGGGGGTGATCAAGGCTGGCTTTGCTGGAGACCAGATTCCCAAATACTGTTTCCCAAACTAGTAAGTGTTGCTCAGGCAGCAGCCCTGCTGCTTGGTTTGCTCCGGGGAGAACGCTGGCCCCCATCTTTGAGGAAGACACAGCTGTGAGGTCGGCAATGCCGGGAACTCTGAAAGGGCCAGTGCCCTGGGTGCCCCCTTCCTCTTTGGAGTCGCTGGTCTTCACCTCTGGAGCCAGGGAGGAGGAGAAGCAGCCAGCGCTCCCCTGGGGCTGGGAGTGGCAGCAGCAACAACAATAAAAGGAGAGCTGTCCACGGGGAGACCTAAACCTGGAGCAGAGAGCGCGCAGACGCACACAGCACTCTAGGAAAGGTTTTGTTTCGGTCAAGGGCAGGCTGTGCCGTGTGGCGCTGCTGGAGGCAGGAATAAGCAGGAGGTGCAAAGCCAGAGATGGCCTGTGTGGGGGCCACGCTAGCCCACCAGGAAAGGTTCCTTGGCGGTGCCTCCTCTCGACTCCTGGAGGCTTTGGCGTTTCTGGCCTGCATGCAAGCCAGCAGAGGGGCCCCCACATGGCTGACTGGGCCAAGAACCTCGGGCTGGTCTGGGCACAGTGCAGCTCAGAGCACTGCTCGGCTCTGCTCTGGGTGCTCTCTGAGGAGGTGATGAGAGATCACTGCTGGTGTGTTGGGGACCTGGGTCACGTTTTGAAACGTGGCTCGACGAATCAGGCCAGTTACCAAGGACTGCACCTCTGTCTGGAGGCCCTGGCAGCGGGAAGGGAAACACTGAGCTGAGGGAGAAAGGGGCTGTGCCCGCTCCCTGGGGTGCAGGGACGTTGATGGCAGCCCTGCCCCTGAGGTCAAGATCGTGGGCTGAGTCATTGTGGTCAGAGAAGGCTGACCCTCTGCCAGGCCTGGGCAGCCCGTGACGGGCTCAGGAGCTCGGCCTGCTCTGGGAGGGATGCCCATTGCTCCTGACCCTGCACTTCCTGTCCCCCTGTGAGTTCCACATCCCAGAGACCCAGCTGCCAGCCTGGGCCCCATGGCCGCGTCCTGGTGCTTTGGTGTGGGAAAAACTGGAGCTCATCCCTGCCCCCTTTCACACGTGGCTGACTTCTCTGTCCTTGCAGTGTGGGGCGGCCTAAGCACATGCGGGTGATGGCTGGAGCCCTGGAGGGCGACCTCTTCATCGGACCAAAAGCAGAGGTAACGCCGTGGAGCCTGCCCGCCCCCGGGTGGGCGTGGGGTCTTCCTTCACAGGCGTGCTGGCTACTGGGGAGAGGCATCTGTTCTCAGGCCCCCGCTGCTGCCCGCCTGGCCACCTGCCTGCTCCAGCTGTGAGGTGCTGGCCGTCTGGCTCGGTGACCTGCCTGGGAGCTGATGGGCAGATCAGTTGCTCTCAGTAGCAACCAGTCGGGAGAAGAGCAGGCCAAGCTTGGGCAAGTGTGTAGGCACCGCAGGCCAGCGGGGCACGTGTGGGGCTCTCAGAAGGTAGGCTCAGTAGGAGCTACCGCTGAGAAGCCACGTGGTGCTACACAGGAAGGGGCGCCCCTAGTGGAGGCACTGGGTCTACACAGGCTATTGCAGCCTTGAGGGCTGGCGGGAGAGGGAGAGCGGGCTCTGCAGTTACGGCTGCACTGCCCGAGGAGCCCTGGGCCCAGGTGACCTGCAGGAGGGGCTGTGTTGCCCAGAGTGGTAGCTGGAGTGCAAGAGGCAGGAGCTGGGCAGCGTGCAAGCAGAGAACAGTGAAGAGGCCTGGCAGTGCGTGGGGAGGAGCCCAAGACGCTGTTGGACACATAAGCTCATCCACGTTGAGGCGCCAGCTCGGAGCAGGGGGACACCCACTGGGGAGGGGCAGCTCGGTTCAGGGCAGGGGAGGCCAGAAAACAGCTGTTCAGCGTGGGACCCCTCCTTCTCCTGCAGGAGCACCGGGGGCTGCTGGCCATCCGCTACCCCATGGAGCACGGCGTGGTGCGGGACTGGAATGACATGGAGCGCATCTGGCAGTACGTGTACTCCAAGGACCAGCTGCAGACCTTCTCCGAGGAGGTGCGCGGCCGGCCCCTGCTCCCGCCGGGCTCCCAGGCCAGCCTGGGCTCCCCTGCCTCCCCTCCCTCCTGCTGGGAGCTGCCACCTTTCCTCTCTCCCTCTTGTTTTGTGCGTCTGTGCGCATGTGCACAACCAGTGGCTGCCCAACGGGCTGAACTACCTGTGCTCACAGTTGGGGGTGGGGGGCGGCTGTCCAGAAGGATCCTCCTGGGCCTAGCATGTGGTCTGCACGTGCCCATGACTCTCACATCTCTCGTAGCATCCTGTCCTCCTCACGGAGGCCCCGCTGAACCCCAGTAAGAACCGGGAGAAGGCGGCGGAGGTGTTCTTTGAGACCTTCAACGTGCCGGCCCTGTTCATCTCCATGCAGGCCGTGCTCAGTCTGTGAGTGCTCCCAGCGGCCAGCCTCCTGCTTGCATGTCCCTTTCAGACTGGATCATGCTGGTGTTCCGGGGGGAGGGGTCCCTGTGCCTCGGTGGCTGAGGCGAGGGGATGCTGACCCGGTGACAGGTACGCCACAGGACGCACGACGGGAGTGGTCTTGGACTCAGGGGACGGGGTCACGCACGCTGTGCCCATCTATGAGGGCTTCGCCATGCCGCACTCCATCATGCGGGTGGACATCGCCGGCCGGGACGTCTCCCGCTATCTCCGACTGCTGCTCCGCAAGGAGGGAGCCGACTTTCACACCTCGGCTGAGTTTGAGGTTGTCCGGACCATCAAAGAGGTGCTGAGAGGCGAGAGGGGGCAGGGGGAGGACGAGGCGTGAGGCGGAGCCCCTGGCTGTGGGAGTCCCGACTACAGCTTTCTGAGGGCTGTGTCCCGCCCCGCTCCCCGCAGCGAGCCTGCTACCTGTCCATCAACCCGCAGAAGGATGAGGCTCTGGAGACGGAGAAGGTGCAGTACACCTTGCCGGACGGCAGCACGCTCGACGTAAGTGGCCAAGCCCGGGCTGCAGGCAGAGGGGGCTGGCTTCTCCAGAGCCCGTCTGCCACGGTCCTGTGCTCCAAAGGTGGGGCCTGCGCGGTTCCGGGCCCCCGAGCTGCTGTTCCAGCCAGACCTGGTGGGGGACGAGAGCGAGGGGCTCCACGAGGTGCTGGCCTTCGCCATCCACAAGTCTGACCTGGACCTTCGCCGGACGCTGTTTGCCAACATTGTGCTCTCGGGCGGCTCGACGCTTTTCAAAGGTACTGGGGTTAGACCGGAGGCCAGGGGCAGCCAGGCCCACGCCCTGGAGCCGGGGGCATGGCCCTTTTCCTCTTGGCTTCTTAGGTGGAGCTCAGTGAGCTGCTTTTGTTTAAGGCTAACATCTGTGTCTAGAGCTTTCCACTCGAGGTCTAGGGTTTTCTCGGGGACTGTTGGGTGGGGAAGAGCATAGAGGCCAGGCGCGGAGTGACTGGGGTTTCCTCTCACATCGTGTCTCTGAGGAAGCTGGGCCTGCCTGCACCCAGGCTGCTGGGCCTCGGGATGGCCGGCCCTGCCCTTGACCCTACAGAACTGAGAAGAGAGGTGGCGGCAGCTGCAGGGGAGGGGGCAGGGAGATCAGAGGTGGCCCTCAGCTCGGCCAGCCGTGTGTTCACAGGCTTCGGCGACCGATTACTCAGTGAGGTGAAGAAGCTTGCCCCAAAGGACGTCAAGATCAAGGTAGGCTGCAGAGGGTCCCTCTGGGGCACGGGGGTGCTGGGCAGCCTTGAGCTGGGGGGGAAGGGCTCCTGCTGCCTGCACCCCCCCTCACCTCCACCTGCACCAGCCCCACTCCTTCCAGCTGCTGCCCCTGCTGCCTGGCTTCAGGCCCTGGGCTGGGGGGTGGCCGCTGTGTGGGGCCTGGGCAGTTACGTGGCCGCTTGCTCCCTCCAGATCTCAGCCCCTCAGGAACGGCTATACTCCACGTGGATCGGGTGAGGCGGGGCTCAAGGGGAGGGCTCGGGAGGAGGCTGTTGGCCCTGGACACCTCTCCTGTGGTTGGTGGGTGGACTTCCCTGCCCGGTAAGGGAACGGGGGCTCTGAGCGCCCAGGGAGGGCAGCTGGCCCAGCCCACAGGTCCACAGGAATGCTGCCCTCCGTCCCCACAGGGGCTCCATCCTGGCCTCGCTGGACACATTTAAGAAGATGTGGGTTTCCAAAAAGGAGTATGAAGAGGATGGCTCCCGTGCTATTCACCGCAAAACGTTCTAGCACCTTGGGAAGATGGAGCATGTGGGGAGAGTAGGAGGACAGGGGCGCCAGAGCCCTCAGCCCCTTTAGGCCTGGGCTCCTATCTAGGCTTAGAGTCCCCTGCATGTCCAGAAGCTGGGAAGGTGGTGCAGCTGTGCTCTGTGCAGCCCTCTCCTACACACACACACACACACACACACACACACAGTAACGTTAGCTGCATGGATAGCAGTCTTCGTTGGAACGTGGGAACTGGGGAGCCCAGCATTGGGTTGGTCTGGGTGTCTCCCTTCACGGGGCCTGTTAAGCCTGTGGTTCCTTGTTCCAACTCTTGGGGTGCTTCCCTGAGCTCCAGGGCCAGACAGCCAAGCACTCCATTTTCTCTGACACACTCCCACCAGAGCCAGAGTGCCTGGACACCTGGAGCATGGGGTGGAGGAGCAGCCAGCGACTCCAGCAGGTGCAGTGAGGTGCCACAGTGTGTCTCATGCCACCCCCTCTTCCTGACCCAACAGGCAGCCCTAACCTTTTCACTCCATCTTCCCTTCTTCCTGGGCAAATGCCCTGGCACAGGGCAAGCACCAGGCAGTGCCATCCGCGGTGAGAGGGTGTGCCAGGGTCAGGCCGTGGGAGCCACAGGCAGCCCCAGCAGCGGGGCCTGTTGCACTGTCCTGTCAAAGCACTTCACTGACGTGCTGCCCCCTGTCCTCCATCCCTCGTACCCTGGGTGGCAACGGGTTCATGGTCTTCATTCTTTGAAGGGGAAGCCACTTAATCCAGTGTCAGGTCCAAGGGGGAGGGGGCCATTTCCTTCTGTCGCCTCCTCGGGGAAGTAGGGCTTCACTTCCACGTGGCCTGGACCCCACCTCCTCTCCCAGATAATGTACAATAATTTATCACAGTTGCCTGAAAAAAAAACTTTTTTGTAAATCATTATAGTGAGAATTATGGACAAGGCCCATGTGTGGCTGTTTTCTTGTGGTTCTTTGTGCTGTTGTTGGCTCAGCCGTCCCCGGGGACTGTGAGAGAAGGTGGTTGGCAGGGCTGTTGTCACCCAGGAGCAGAATTCCCCAGCCTCGTTACCTGCCTGACACAGTCTCCCAGGGAAAGCCTTGGCCCTGGACAGAGCCTCTGCAGCCGCGTCCTCACCCGATCTGTCTGAGCGAGTGCCTGTGCATGCCCGCTCTGATGGCCAAGGTGATGGACACAGGCAGTGATGCAGGCTCCACGGTTCAGACAGGTCCTGATGGGGTGGGGGAGTGATGAGGGAGAGGAGCTGGGATCTCCAGGAAGAGGCAGAGAGCAGAGGGAGCCGTGGGAAGTGAGGTTGGAGAAGGTCTACGCATTTGAGAATCTGAGCACCTGCCATGTGCCTGCAGGATATGTCACCCCAACAAGTGTACAGGTCGGGGAGCCAGGCAAGCGGGCCACTGCAGTACGGAGTTGTAGAGAGCAGGACAGGTGAGTGACCCACTTGGGGCAGGTGGACTAGCAAGGGCCTGGAAGGTTTTACCTTAAGGTAAAGCTTAAGGCTCGAGGAGATGCCTGGGGCCACTGAGGCACAGACCCAGTTTATAGCTGAGATAAACCGAAAAGGTAGGTTGACCCGTGAGAGGATTCTTAGTTGTGTCCCAGGTGACAGGTGGCCAGCCACAGTAGGCTGGTGACCAGGGCCATGTGCTGAAGACAGCTGAGGCTGGTGGAGGCTGAGGGAGGGTGCAGAAGCAGGGCGAGCAGGTAGGAGCGAGCCAGCACTGAATCAGGCCTGGCTGTGTGCTCACTGTGCAGCCAAGCAGAGTGGACATGGACAGCTCTTCCTGCCAACTTCTCTTCCCCAGCACCCAGGCCTGGAGCCCTTCCCGTGCCTCCTGCCTGCTCCTTCCCTCACCCCTATTCTGCCCGTTGCCATGTTTATGGTTCTGTGCTGCCTTCCCAGCTGCCCTTTCCTTTCCACTGTGGTCACTGCCACACTAGCTCACGCCCCCAGCTCTGTTTTCCCTCCCAACTAATCCATTTGCTCTCAAATCTAAAGTTCAGAGAATTTACCACTTCCTGTTCCAAAATGTCAGGCAGTTGTCCTCTGCCTGGTGGAAAATAATTGATGAGATGTTGGCAACGTCCTGTCCATGATCCACACATTATTCACAACTGATGCAGGCCCCCGGCCATCTGTCCCTTCACCGGTCGTCAGGTGCTGCTTTGCTCGCTGCCTGCCCTCACACAGCAATGACCTTCAAAATCCCAAGGCAGCACTCTCACCACACCCTCTTCCTGCAGGGATAAGTGAGTAAAGGGCTCAGGCCAGGTTCCTCTCTGTTACAGGAGAAAAGCTGTGGATGAGGAAGGGAGGTGGCTAGAGGTGCTGGATTGGGATCAGGGGTGGTATGAACTCATGGCTGTAACGTATGTGTAGACACTGAAACAGATACACATCTGTGTGAGTGCCAGGCTTAGGAACATGCATTTCCTGGCCCTGCTTGCTGGGAGGGCCTGAAAAGCAGTGACACCCCCTCACGGCACAGCATCCAGACCTTGGTTCTTAAATCCCATTCCTCATTTCCCTGGGGCAGGAAAGTACAAGATGAGTCTGGAATATCATGGTACCACAAAGCAAGGCAGCACTAACAAAAGGGGGGCCGGGGAGTTGGGGGAGCCTTGTCTAAAGGACACAGGAACCAACCTGAAGGAGGTCTGTAATGGATTATGAGCCATGGATAACCTGTGAGTCTATACCGATGTGCAAGAAGGGACAGCAGAATTCCAATTCATGTAGAAGGAGTCTTGAACTAGTAACTTACCACTGGGCAAACACCACAGTAATAATTGTTACAGTAATAATTTGTTATAATAATATACTGTATATTTTTCTAAAAAATAAACTAGAAGATTTTGAATGTTTTCACCATAAAGAAATGGTAAATGTTTGAGGAGATAGGTATGTTTACCCTGGTTGGATATTATACAATGTATACATGTATTGAAACATCATATGGTATCCCATAAATGTGTATAATTTTCATGTATCAGTTAAAAATAAATTATTTTAAAAATAATTTAATTTTTTTGATTCATTTGAAAGACAGAGACAGAAGCAGGCAGTCTTCCATCCACTGGCTCACTCCCCACATGCCCACAACAGCCGGGGCTAGGAATAGTTCATTCCGTAAATGTCCAAAGCAACAGGGGCTGGGCCAGGCTGAAGCCAGGAGCTGGTAATGCCATCTGGATCTCCCACGTGAGTGGCAGGGACCCAAGTACTTGGACCCTCGCCTGGTGCCTCTGAGGGTGTGCATTAGCAGGAGACCAGATTCGGGAGCAGAACCAAGACTTGAACCCAGACAAACCCATACGGGATACAGGTGTCCCAAGCAGCACTTCACTGCTACGTCAGACACTCAGCCCTAAGCTAATTTTGAATGAATGCAAAAATTGGCAGAAATGATACTTGATTGTCTCAAAGCTCTTTCCAAGAAGCACTTAGAATTACAGAAGGAAAAACAGTAACTTTATGGAGGAGAAACCTAGTGGACACCACTTTTACCAAAAGATCAAAGTTTACCTCTCCAGTCTCTTGACACACTGAAAGGGGCCCAGTTCCACCTGTGTATCCTTGGATCCTCTTGTAGCTGGTAAACCCAAACAGAGCAGTTCTCTTGTTCAGAAGTGGCAGGTCATGAAGATAAAGACAGAAGAGGTATGACACCTGTGTGCGACGTGGGGCGCTGGGTGGAAGGGGACCTTCCCAGGAAAGCGTGTGAAATCCTAGCTGATCTGTTAGTAGCACTATATCGATGTTAACTGCCCGGCTTCTAGAACTGTACTATGGTAATGTCAGATGTTCACATTAAGGAATTTCTGTAATACTTCTGGAACTTTTCTGTAAGTCAGAAATAATTGGGGGACAAGAGAGCTCAGACTCGGAGCTAAATGGTCTGGACCCACAGTTCTGCCACCACAAACGGCTGTGTGATGCTGTGCATTCCTTGGTTGCACTACTCTAATAGGGGGTGATAATAATAGCACCTACCTCATGGGTTTTTTACAGCCTGGAAGATGAGCCTAGAACATTTTGTGCCAGAAAATGAGTGCTCAAAGAAAGAGATGTCCAGGCCACAAGAGAGGCAGGTCAGGACCCTGGCTTCCCATACCAGTGTCCGGGTTCGAAGTCCAGCTCCACTTCTGATGCACACCCTGGGAGGCAGCTGGTGACGGCTCACATGCTTGAGTCCCTGCCACCCACGTGGGAGACCTGGATTGCGTCCCCAGATCCTGCCTTTGGCCTGGCTCAGCCCTGTCCTTGTTGTGGGCAACTGGGAAGTAGACCAGCAGATGGACGATCTCTGTCTCTGTCTTTCTGAAATAAATTAAAAAAAAAAAAAAGTCACAGAAACCAGCTTGAAGAGGTTCCCATTGGCCAAATTTAGAACAAATTAAACATCAAAAAATAAAAAGTATGGGCTGGCACTGGAGCACAACAGGTTAAAGTCCTGGTCTGCAGTGCCGGCACCCCACGTGGGCATCAGTTTGAGTCCCAGCTGCTCCACTTCCGATCCAACTCTCTGCTCTGGCCTGGGAAAGCAGCAGAAGATGGCCTAAGTCCTTGGGCCCCTGCACCGGTGTGGGAGACCTGGAAGAAGCTCCTGGCTCCTGGCTTCGACCTGGCCCAGCCCTGGCTGTTGCAGCCATATGGGGAATCTGTGGATGAAAATCTTTCACTATCACTCTGCCTTTCAAATAAATACATCTTTTTAAAAAACCCAATGAATAGTACAAGAAGCCTGCCTACATAAAGATATAAATTAATAAGTTGAAAACTTAATTGAGCAACAGGGTATTGACATCTCAAGGTATTATTCCATAAAATACTTATTAGTAATCAGAGAGCAACTACAGAAGCCTGGCAGGTATTAGCGTCAAGTGACCAAAATGCACCTCATCAAACCAGCATCAGGTGCCTCCCGAGAAGGGTGCAGCACCTGGATGGCATTCCTGCCCGAGCCGGGCAACTGGAATCAGGAAGTCATTCTCAGTGTCAAAGTCCAGAGAGTGAAAGACAGGAACTGTTCCAGATGTGACAGCTAAAGACAATGTGATTCTGAACTGGATCCTTCAGCTATGAAAGGCACTTATGGAACATTTAGCCAAACTTTGACGGAGTCTGAGAACTTGATAGTAGAAAACATGCACATTCGGAGCCGGCACTGTGGCGCCAGCATCCCATATGGATGCTGGTTCAAGTCCCAGCTGCTCCGCTTCCAATCCAGCTCCCTGCTAATGTGCCTAGGGAAGTGGTAGAAGATGGCCCAAGTGCTTAGGCTCCTGCACCTGTGTGGGAGACCCTGAAGAATCTCCTGCCTCCTGGCTTTGGACTGACCTGGCTTTAGATTCTCTCTCTGTAACTCTGCTTCTCAAAAATAAATCTTAAAATATATATAATATATTATCATATATATTATATTTATATATATGCACACTGTATTTTCCTGGTCATATTGTGGCTAAGAGAATGTCTTTTTTCTAATTATTTATCTGAAAAGCAGAGAGACAGAGACAGGAAGAGAGACAGAAAAAAGATCTTCCATCCACTGTTCACTCCCCAAATGGCCGTAACGACTGAGACTGAGCCAGGCTGTAGCCAGAAGCCTGGGACCCCACCCAGGCCTCCACCTGCTGCTGCTTTCCCAGGCACATTAATTAGCAGGGAGCTGGATGAGAAGTGAAGCAGCTGTGACAGGAGCCAGTGCCCACAAGAGATGCTGGTATCACAGGTGGCAGCTTAACCCCTGCCACAACGCCAGCCCCAGCTGAATGTCTTTGTAAGAAATACACTAGAGGCCGGCGCCGTGGCTCACTTGGTTAATCCTCTGCCTGCGGCGCCAGCATCCCATATGGGCGCCGGGTTCTGGTCCCGGTTGCTCCACTTCCGGTCCAGCTCTCTCCTGTGGCCCGGGAGGGCAGTGGAGGATGGCCCAGGTGCTTGGGCCCCTGCACCCACGTGGGAGACCAGGAGAGGCACCTTGCTCCTGGCTTCGCATCGGCGTAGCTCCAGCTGTGACAGCCATTTGGGGGATGAACCAACGGAGGGAAGACCTTTCTGTCTCTCTAACTCTGTCCAAAAAAAAAGAAATACACCAGCGCATGCTGGGGCATCAGATCAGCAGTTCACTTTCAATGTTCCCGGGTGGGGGAGGGAAGTTCTTTATTCTGTACTTGCAGATAGTTTAGTATCATTACAGCGAGGTTATATTCATCCATGGAGAGGGGAAAGGAGATTCCATCTCTAAGCTAACTGACCACAGGTTCAGATGGACCCATTTCCACTAGGATCTGGTCTTCCAGTGAGGGACATTACATTTCCTCTCTGTCCTTAGGGTTTCCCACTGCAAGGAGGACAGGAAGTGAGCTACTGGTGTTTACAAGCTTAGCTGCACATGGCAAGCACCTGGGGAACTTTACGCTTCTGATGCCTGGGTCCCAATCCCAGGTACTAAGGGCCAGGTGTGGCCTGGCACCCGGAGTCCTGACAGACCCCCAGGTGGTTCTGCTGTGCAGCTAAATTTGAGGCCCACTGACCCAGGAGCTGAAATTTTTTTTTAA